CTGACAGGCAGGGGGGCGGCGACGATTCGCCGTAGGCGTCTTCGGTAATGATGTCCGTTCCTGACTGCGCGTGCGCGGCTGCTTGCTTAAGGTTGCTCGCTGGCGGCGGGTCGCTCGTGTACCTGCTTGCTCGCTTGCCCTTGCGTGCACGTGTTTGCGTTTGATCGCCTGCCTGCCTGATTCCTGGCCTGCTTGCGTTTGCTCCCGCTTGGTTGCGCTTGACCATTGCTGATTGAGATGGGTTACTTGCTTCGTGTGTTGTGACTGGTTGGGGACTCCTGTTGGCTTGCTTGCGCGTGCTTACCTATGATTGCGATTGCGTTCACGTGCTGCTTGCTTGTGAAAAACGCCTCGTTTGCGCACGTGCTTGCAATCGCTTGCGCGTGCTCACTTACTAGACCACTTTACGTGGCCGCGATAGCTTGCCTCCTGTCTTGCGATTGCTCGCTTTCGCGTGATTGCCTGAGTGTGCGTTTACTTTAGGATGCTTGTTTCACTTGATCGCGCTTGCTTGCACCTGCTTTTCGGTTGATTGCGACTGGTTGCGCTTGCTTGCGCTTACTGGTATGGTTGCTTGTGCATGCTTGCTTGCGTTGGCTGGTGTGGTTGCATGCTTGCTTGATTGTCCGTGCTTGCGTGATCGCTTGCGCTGGCTTGCGCTGGTTTGCCCTGGCTTGCGGTGGCTTGGGCTTGCCTGCGGTTTTTCACGTTCGCCGTCGCCGACTTGCGATTGCGAACTTGCGATCTGGCACCAGCTTGCTTGCGCACTCGGAAATGCTCGCCTGGATGTACGGGCCCGAAACAGTTTGGACGAGGTCGCCAGGGCGTGAAAAAAGAAAGGGAAACGGGCCAGGGCTGCAACAAAACTAGGGGGCTGGCCCTGGCCACGCGTTCCAGCTTCCTTATATAAACTTCCGCGGGCGCATGGCGATGTGCACATGGCCCCACAGGCGCATGGCACCAGGCCCACTTAAGCCCTCAAGCACGCGACCATGGGCTCGCAGCCACAACCACAGGGCCATAGGCACATGGCGTCGAAGGTAAGGGGCCGCCGGCGCCTTCTCACCACAGTGCAAGAGCACATACAGCACGAGGCAGCATGAGGCATAGGCCAGCAAGGTGAGCAAAAGGCACAACAAGAACAAGAAACGACACTCCTCCTCCTCCTCCTCCTCCTCCTCCTCCTCCTCCTCCTCCACCTCCACCTCCATCTCCACCTCCACCTCCATCTCCACCTCCACCTCCTCCTCCACATCATCATCCTCCTCCTCATCCTCCTCATCCTCCTCCTCCTCCTCCTCATCGCTCTCCTCCTCGTTCTCCTCCTCGCTCTCCTCCTCCTCCTCCTCCTCCTCCTCCTCCTCCTCCTCCTGCTGTATCTTCCCACATCACTCCTCTCCATCCCCTTCCACATACGAGGTCCTCATGCTCCTGGTGGTATTCCTCCTTGCCGTTGTCTTCCTCCTCCGTGTGGGCAACTCCGCAGTAGGCGTCGCCATCACTCGGACATCGTCCAGACGCCTTTTTCCCCGCTGGCAGTCCTCACAGAACCCAAGGGGTCCTAGGGCCAGGCGCTGTCGCGGCGCTGCTCGGCAGCGGGTCGGAGGGCGGAGAATCCCGCGCCCCGCAAAGGCAGACGTCAGCCGCCATTTGGCGTCGCCCACCTTTTCACACAATTCGCAGGCCCGACGGCCCAACGGCGCGTGAGAGCACAACGCATCTCTCAGATAGGTGACTGAAGCAGTTAAACCTTCATGGCCGAGTGGCTGACCGTAACCGGATCCACGCGCTGCTCCCCCAATCCACCCGTTCCAGACGCCGATTTTGCGACGAAGACGCCCACGAAGTTGCTGGCTCGGGACTCGCCTGTTGGACTCCCCAGGCTCACCGCGTGGAGCGGAGGCGCGGTGCCAGCAGGCGCGGCTGCACCCCCGGCTTCCCCGCGCTCCCCGGGCCCGGGAGCCGACACCCTGCGAGAACAGCCCGCGCGACAACCGTCGGAGCAGGCTGCTGTAGAGTCCTGGTATGAAGGGGCCCCAGGACACACAAATTATAATAACAGGATTCCCCAGATTTTCCTATTTTTTTTCTGGGTTTCTGTCTTCCCCCCACTTCCCATAGTTTCCCAGATTTTCGGGGGAATCGACGATTCATTGTGTCTCTGTGTTTTTGTCCCTCCTGATGGCAGCGTCCCCGTGGGGCCGTGGCAGCGTTCTCGCCACGCCGCGGCAAGATCCTGGTCGGGCCCTGGCGTGGGGGACATGCGGCTGCCGGCGCCGCGGCTCCCAGGGCCTCTCCCGGGGTGCCCCGGGCGAGCGGGCGCCAGCGCGCCCTGTAGTCAGTCGGTGGCGTCCTGCCCCAAGGAAGTCGGGAGCGGCCGAGAGGGGGGTGTACAAGAGGGGGGGGGTGCAAATCATGACCGGCGGCATGTGCGCGGCCCAGCGGGGGGGCCAGGGGCGTAATGAAATAAGAAGAGGGGCCATGGAATCTGGGGAGACATCATGGCCCCCGCCATGATATCCCCCCCCCCCTAGTCATCACCCCCCTCGTTTCCGCCCCCGAATGGAAGGGGAAGGCGGTGGGCTGCGGGCAGGCAGCCGGGCCCGCCTACCGTCAAGTCGGGCCTGTCCCTCTACCGGGAGGAATACTCCAAAATAGCAACAAAAAAGCCTGGGGACGATGTGTTCTATAATTGTTCTATCATTTTGACTATATGTTGACCACGCCTTATCTGTCCTCCAAAATCCGACCCGCCTGCAAGGGACATGCCCGACCTACGCCTATGGCAGCTGACAGAAACTGCAGAAAATGGTGTCCTGGCGGGGTCCTGGAATCGGCGACTCCGAAAGGTGTGGTTTGCAAGGGGTGCGGTTTGCAACCGGCGTCCTGGGGGTCACCCTGGGGGGCGGGCGGGGACCTCGACAGAGCTCTCCGCCGCGCCCCGAGGAGACCCAGCGAGGACAGTGTCGTGCTCCACGGGCCCCAGCTGTGTCAATCGCAAACCACACCCTGGCGTAACTATACCCTTTGTAGTCGCCGACTGAAAGTGCCCCGCTAGCGTGTCAGTCCTCGTGAAGTCCTGGCAACGCGGCCCTGAAGAACTCACGGGCAGTGTCCCGTCATAGTCCTGGTATGGGTGTCGCGCCACATGCATCGGGAAATCTTGCTACAGTGGAGGCCAGTTCACAAGAAACCTTCCACAAGAAACCCAACCCTGGGACCCCAGGACGTCCATGGCTTTTTGGTGTGGGAACGTCACGCTTTCCGTAGCAAAACCATCGAAACCCAGGGAACCCAGGGCACCCTGGAGGTAAGCAGGGTGTTTCTTGACATGGGTCTCCACTGTATAAGAAATCCTGGGGCACGGCTGTCGTCGATCTCTTTGAGAGCCCGAAGGTGCCCCAGAGCCGCCGTGGGTCCTCGGGACGATCGGAGGACGAGAAATGTCCGTGGGGCACCTGCTCGCAGGCCGATATATCATTCGATATGCCGATCGGCATATCGAATGACAGATCATTCGATCCCACCGGGGGCCCACCATACCGTCGACGGTATGGTGGGCCCCCGGTGGGATCCGATCAGGGTCTTGGTAGGGTCACATGAGGGTCCCGGCAGGTTCCTGGGAGGGTCGTGGCAGGGTCCCAAACAGGATTTCAGTGGGATGATGGCAGGGCCCTGAGGGTCCTGGGAGGATCTTGGAAAGGCCCACCTCCTGGCTAGGCCCTGGCGTGATTCGGACGGACACTAGCAAAAGTCATGAGAAGAACCTAGCAAGGCCCTGGAAGGGGAATGGCAAGGTCCTGGTAAGGCGCTGTCAGGGTCCGAGTTGGATTCTGGCGGGATCCTGGTAGGAGCAAAGCAGGGTAATGGCAGGATCGGGTTGGGTCATTGCTGGAATCCTCGTAGGGTGCAAGTCCCCGCCTGGTAGATTCCTGCTAGACCCATGGCAGGGTCCTGGCCAACAGCAGGGTCCTGGCAATGTGGTCCTGCCAAGATTGTGGTCCCGGGGGACCCGGCTCAGGGAGGGACCATCGAGCAGGAAGCAGCGATACATCGCCGATAGATCGGCGATAGGCCCCTGACAGCAAAATTCCGCATGTTCCTGGGCGGGGTGAGCAATCAGGCACCCATCGGCGATGAATGGGCGATTGGGGGTCGATGCGCCCCCCCCTGAGCCTATCATCCCCCCTAACATTGCACCCAGCCTCTGCGCCCGACCCGAGCCTTGGGCCGCGGCGGCGGCAACGGGAGGATTGGCGGCGCGCACAATGGGGGTAGGGGGGAGGGGGGACGGCTTCTTAGAAGGAAGCTGCTTCTTAGAGGGCACCAGCCCTACATCTAAAGACAAGGCCCGCGCCTTCGGAAGAAGCAGGGGTGCTTCTGAGAAGCCCTCCCCCCTCTCGGGGGGGCAAGAGGGGGGTGTCTAAGAAGGGGGGGGGGGGGCGCAAATCATGGCCGGCGGCATGTGCGCGGTCCAGGGGGGGTGGCCAGGGACGTAATGAAATAAGAAGAGGCGCATTGAAATCTGTGGAAATCTCATGGCCCCCGCCATGATATCCACCCCCCTAGTCATCACCCCCCTCTTTGCCGCCTCCGACCCTCCCCCTACCCCCTTCTGCGCGTGGCCGACTTCTCCCGGGGTGCGCTCTGGCCTGGGGTTCCGAGGCGAATCGAGCCGCGGCGTTAGGTCGGGCCTGTCCCCTTACAGGGGGATTTGGGACGAACAAAAAAAATACTCCAAAAATGTTCAGAAATAGTGAGAACAACTAAAAAAAACGTTTCCAGACTATGTTGTAACTATTTTTGAATACCCCCCCTGTAGAAGGACATGCCCGACTTAAGAGTAGCGGTATCCGTATCTTTTCCTCCTCTGACGCCCCACCACCAGCCAGTGGCGACAACTGCCCCCCCCGACGGGGCGGCGGCGGCGGCGGCGAGCGCGAGAAGCGCCCCTGTCTGAAGAGCGGCCAGCACGTCCTAGACGCGAGGGCCGGCCCGCGTCAGGGGACGAGCCACCGCCCCACCTGCGAGAGGCAAGAGGGCACCAATACCCTCACCCTTCCTCCACGGACCTCCCCTGGGGCGCGCTCTGAACAGGCTTCCGAGGAGAGAATCCAGGCGTGGGGACGGGGGCCACCCAGGACGAGCAGCGGTATCGATAATTATCTCATCCCCCCCTTCTCCTTCTCCTTCTCATCCTCCTCCTCCTCCTCCTCACCCTCCTCCTGCTCCTCCTCCTCCCCCTCCGCCTCCGCCTCCGCCTCCTCGTCCTCGTCCTCGTCCTCGTCCTTGTCCTCCGCCTCCTCCTCCTCCTCCTCCTCCTCCTCCTCCTCCTCCTCCTCCTCCTCCTCCTCCTCCTCCTCCTCCTCCTCCCCCTCATCCTCCTCATCCTCCTCCTCCTTTTCCTCCTCCTCCTTTTCCTCCTCCCCTGGGGGACACATTTGGCCGAGGACACCCTGGGCCACGGGCCTCCAGCGGGCGTTCGAGGCGACCGAGAAAGCTCTGGGCAAAGCGCAGCTGCTGGAAATCATCCCGGGCGGGAAAAACCTCTGGGCACTTCGCGGACCCCCACTGGCAGCGGACGTGGTTATATGTTGGCCCCTGGGGGCCAAAGTATCTCCACGCCCACCGTCCGCTGGGCCCCCAGGACACCAGTTCCCAAGCGGTGGAGATCGGCAAACCCCCTCCTCGCATGAAATTTCGGCCTGCCCACCCCGTGGCGGGGTCCGCCTGCGACAGGCTCATCTCCCCGTTGGCGGCCCTCCTGCGGCCCACCGCTGGGAAGTGCGCCCGGCTCCTGCGCCGCTGGGGCGCGAAAGGGCGTCCAGCAGGAGGGTGCGGCGGCATGCCCGCCGCGCGGCACGGCGGTGAGGTGGCAGAGACCTCCGAAGTTCCGCCCCTCCTCCTCCTCCTCCTCCTCCTCCTCCTCCTCCTCCTCCTCCTCCCTCCTCCTCCTCCTCCTCCTCCTCCTCCCTCCTCCTCCTCATCCTCCTCCTCCTCCTCCTCCTCCTCCTCCTCCTCCTCCTCCTCCTCCTCCTCCTCCCCTCCTGCTCCTCCTCCTCCTCCTCCTCCTCCTCCTCCTCCTCATCCTCCTCCTCCTCCTCCTCATATCATCATCATCATCATCATCATCATCATCATCATCATCATCATCATCATCATCATCATCATCATCATCATCATCATCAGCAGCAGCAGCAACAGCAGCATCAGCATCACCACCATCGTCGTCATCATCATCATCATCATCATCATCATCATCATCATCATCATCATCATCATCATCATCATCATCATCATCATCATCATCATCATCATTATCATCATCAAAGGCCGCCGCGTGCTCAAGCCTTCGGTGACACAGCGGTCTCCTCAGAAGATCCCTCCATTGTTCGCCAAGAGGCAGAGAGCACACTGCGATGGCAGCTCGCACGGATGCCAGCTCCGGAGGTGCGCCTCCTGCGGCATGCTGACGCGTTGCATGCTGAGGCCGGTTCAGGAGGCCTCCCACAAGTGGCAGCAGCACTACAAGAACGAGCCGCTGCTTATGCGCCACACCTCCAACCAGCACACCGAGCAGAAGCTCAAGCAGCTCGACGGCGCCGAGAAGAGAAAGCTGGTGGCGGTAAAGGCGGAGTACGAGCTGCTTACGAAGTTCTTGGCAGTGGTGCGGTGCAACCAAGACGAGAAGGTGTACGACAACCACAAGATCGAAACCAAGGGTCAGGTTGCCATCGTCATGGGGAACTACCACCTCGCCTGCGCAACTTACCGAGCGGAGTCCAAAGTCGAGTATCACTTCCAGTGCCACCGCTGCGACGATGGCAAGGTGCGCATCTTCTTGCATGCTGCCAAAGAGAGCTACTACTTCACTTGTGCCGCCAACGGAGAGCAGTCCAGCATCGTGTACATCGATGAGTACCACGGCTGCGACGACGGCAACGTGCGCATTTTCTTGCACTTTCGTTCCGCGCAGTTCGTGCTCACGCAGAAGAAGACCGAGAAGTCACATGAGGAGAACCTGAAGGCGGTGCACGAGCCGCGCACGAAGCTCATGGACGAGGCGCGGGGGGGCACACTCAAGGATGACGCTGCCAACATCGCTGGAGCGGAGCAGTACCACGAGAGGCACAACGACGAGCTCTGCGCCGACATCATGCGTTACGGAATGCACAGCACCACAGGAGGCACTACGATGAGCCCTTCGCCGAGACTATGCGCTACAGAGTGGAACAGTACCACGGGAGGCACTACGACAAGCCCTACGTCGACATCATGCGCTACGGAGTGGAGTTGTCCCGCAGGAGGCACTACGACGAGCCCTTCGCCGACATCATGCGCTACGGAGCGGAGCAGTACCACAGGAGGCACTACGACGAAGGAGCGTGCCGAAGGGCGCGCGCCGCCAGTCTCAGCAGCTTCCGTCTTCGCTTCTAGGCCAGACCCCCCAGCAGCTGCCGACTCGGGGTCGGTAGGACGTGCGTGCGCAGCCAGTCTCAGAAGACTCAGAGCTGGAGCATGCCGCAGGGCGTGCGCCGCCAGTCCTAGAAGACTCAGAGCTGGAACATGCCACAGGGCGTGCGCCGCCAGTCTCAGCAGCTTCTGTCTTCTTGTCTGGGCTAGCCGACTCCAGGGTGGCAGGGCGTGCGTTGCCAGTCTCAGCAGACTCAGAGCAGGAACATGCCGCAGGGCGTGCGCCGCCAGTCCTAGAAGACTCAGAGCTGGAGCATGCAGTAGGGCGTGCGCCGCCAGTGTCAGCTTTCTCTGTCTTCTTGTCTGGGCCAGCAGACTCGGGGTCGGCAGGGCTGGCACAGCCAGACTCTGCAGCTTCATTCCTTGCGACTGGACCAGGCGGCCCAGCAGCTGCCGACTCGGGGTCAGCCTAGCTTGAAGGGCCCGAGGGCCCACGCGATCAGCTCTCGAATCCGAGAGCTATCCAGATGCAAGCATGATTCCCCACTGAACGAATTCGAGATGATTGGCCTCACGACGGGGCTTGCATGGCCAGCCTGAGCCACGGTCTCGTCTCCAACCTCCGATCCTCCCAACGCTCAGCATGCAACGCGGGCATCACCAGCTGTCTACGGTTGTCCCTGGATCGCGCGCACATGTGTGCAGAACCCCGTGAAGCACGGCTCCTAGCGAGCTCTTCAGGGAGCAATCGAACTCTATGCGACGGATCATTTGTTCTAAAACCTATTGCTCAACAGTTTGGTCCTGATGTCGGGAATCATCCTCATCATCATCATCATCATCATCATCATCATCATCATCATCACCATCATCAGCATCATCATCATGATCATCATCATCATCATCATCATCATCATCATCATCATCATCGTCATCATCATCATCATCATCACCATCATCGTCATCGTCATCGTTGCCGTCGTCATCATCATCATCAGCATCATCATCAGCATCAGCATCAGCATCAGCCTCATCCTCATCCTCATCCTCATCCTCATCCTAATCCTCATCCTCATCCTCATCCTCATCCTCATCCTCCTCATCATCATCAGCATCGTCAGCATCGTCATCATCAGCATCATCGGCATCATCATCATCATCAGCAGCAGCAGCATCAGCCGCATCAGCATCATCAGCAGCAGCATCATCAGCATCATCAGCATCATCTGCATCATCAGCATCATCAGTATCATCAGCATCCTCATCATCATCATCAGCATCAGAATCAGCATCATCAGCATCATCAGCATCATCATAATCGTCATCAGTATCAGAATCAGCATCATCATCAGCAGCATCATCTTCATGTTCATCATCACCACCAGCAGCAGCATAATAAAAATGATGATAGCAGTAGATAAAGATAAGAAGAAGAATATGAAGAATAATGATAATAAGTATCATCATCAGCATCATCATACTCCTGACCATAATCATGATCATCATCATTATCATCATGATCATCATGATCATCATCACCATCGGCAGCATCATCAATCGGCAGTATCATCATGATCACCATCATCAGCAGCATCAGCATCATCATCATCAGAAGCAGTATCATCAACATCATCATCATCAGCATCAGAATCATACTCCTGACCATGGTCATGATCATCCTAATCATCTCCATCGTTATCAGCAGCAGCAACAACATCATCACCACCAGCAGCATCATCATCATCAACAGCAGAATCATCATCATGAGCATCATCACAATACTCCTGACCATAATCATGATCATCATCATGACGATCATCATCATCAGCGGCAGCAACATCACCATCAGCATCATCATAACCGTAATCATCATCATCACCATCACAATCAGCATCATCAGCATCATCAGCATCATCATCTTCATCATCAGCAGCGGCAGCATCATCATTATACTCCGGACCACCATCATCATCATCATCATCAGCATCATCATCACCATCAGCATCATCATCCTCATCATCATCATCATCAGCAGCAGTATCCTCATCAGCAGCATCACCGTCGTCAGCAGCATCACAACCATCATAATCACCACCATTATGACCACCATCCTCATCATCATCAGCATCAGCATCAAAACCATCAAAGCCCTCATCCGCATACTCATCATCATCATCATCATCATCATCAGCAGCAGCAGCAGCGTCATCATGATCAGCCTCCTCATCCTTATCATCAGCAGCATCACCACCATAATCAGCATCACAATCGTCATCACCACCATCATCACCAATTACCATCATCATCAGCATCCTCATCATCAATAGCATTATCATCATCAGCAACACCATCATCATCAGCAGCGGCGACATAATCATCCTCAGCAGCACAATCAGCATCAGCATCATCATCGCCATCACCATCATTATCACCACTACCACCATCATGAGCATCATCATCGACATGATCATCATCATCACCATCATCAGAAGCATCATCAGCATCATCCTGGCCATCAGCATCATCATCAGCATCAGCATCAACCGCATGGGCATCCGCATCATCACCACCAGCACCATCATCAGCAGCATCAGCACCATGAGCAGCATCATCAGCAGCATCATCAACATCATCATCCTCATCATCATCAGCAGCATCACCAACATAATCAGCATCATCATTATCAGCAGCATCAGCAGCATCAGTATCATCATCAGCAGCATCCGAATCATCATCAGCAGCATCACCATCGGAATAAGCATCATCATCGCCATCATAATCATCATCAGCATCAGCATCATCATCGTCAGCATCAGCATCGCCATGAACAGCACCAGATTCATCATCATCATCCTCATCATCCTCATCATCATCATCATCATCATCATCATCATGATCAGCATCATAATCACCAGCAGCATCATCATCGTCGTCATCATCATCATCGTCGTCATCGTCATCGGCATCCTCTGTCTCGTCCCACTCCTCCTCCTCCTCCTCCTCCTCCTCCTCCTCCTCCTACTCCTCTTCCTCCTGATCCTTCTCCTCCTCATCATCCTCCTCATCCCCCTCCTCCCCTTCCCTTCCTCCTCCTCCCCCCTCCTCCTCCTCCTCCTCCTCCTCCTCCTCCTCTCCCCCTCCTCCCCCTTCCCCTCCTCTACCACCGCATCTCCCACCTCCGGCTTCTCCTCCTCATCATGGTCCTCCTCCTCCTCCTCCTCCCCTCATCATCATCAATCATCATCATCATCATCATCATCAGCATCATCATCATCATCATCATCATCATCAGCATCATCATCAGCATCATCATCATCATCATCCCCCTCTCCCTCGTCCTCGTCCTCCGCCTCCTCCTCCTCCTCCTCCTCCTCCTCCTCCTCC